GTGTCAACTCGATTTGTCATAAATTCGAGACAACTCGAGTTCTGCTAAAATCGAGAGAACTTGAGTTGTGCTAAACTCGAGTTTACTCGAGTTGTGCTAAACTCGAGTTTACTCGAGTTGTGCTAAAGTCGAGTTCTGCTAAAATCGAGACAACTCGAGTTGTGCTAAATTCGAGTTCATTCGAGTTGTGCTAAATTCGACTTAACTCGAGTTGTGCTAAACTCGAGTTTACTCGAGTTGTGCTAAACTCGAGTTCATTCGAGTTGTGCTAAATTCAACTTAACTCGTGTTGTGCTAAATTCAGCTCGAGTTGTGCTAAATTCAACTTAACTCGTGTTGTCGTGTTGTGCTAAATTCGAGTTAGCTCGAGTTGTGCTAAATTCAACTTAACTCGTGTTGTGCTAAATTCGAGTTTCGAGTTGTGCTAAATTCGAATTAACTCGAGTTGTGCTAAATTCGAGTTGACTCGAGTTGACGCGAGTTGAATTCTCCCAACTCGAGTTAGAAATGAAAGAAGGTTAGTGAAAAAGCGAGAGCGTGATTCGGTCATTGGATTGGTCTCTTAGTATGTACTCCCGCCATTACATACCGCAAGTTTTTCTATCATATCACATCATACTATTTTCACTCGAAACGCCGTGTCTTAAAAACACCTTGTTTGGGATATTTTAGAATTGCCAGATTCCCAGTGAGTGGACGTGTAAAATATAAGAAATGCTCGGATTCATTTCAAATATGTAGGAAATACCAGCTCGTTATTGAAACTATTGACAATTAATGAAATGTTATTTTTTTCTAAACATTATTTGTTTTTAAAGAAACTTCTTACTTTAAAAAGAAATAATATTTTTAATGTAAGAAGTTATGATTTATGACTAATGTTTAGAATTTATAATGCTTTGATTACAGAATTATTATTTGTACTCTGGAAACAGCAGAATACGATGAAACTTATATTATACTAGCTGACCCGTCAAACGTTGTTTTGCCTTAAAATAAAAAAAAATTAGGGGTGGACTACCCCTAACATTTAGGGGGATGAAAAATAGATGTTGGCCGATTCTCAGACCTACTCAATATGCTCACAAAATTTCATGAGAATCGGTCAAGCCGTTTCGGAGGAGTATGGGAACGAAAACTGTGACACGAGAATTTTATATATAAGATATAATTTCCACCATTTCCAGCGTACAAATAGTAATTGTGTAATCCAATTCTGACAAATAAATATATTATTATCATTATAAAAAAAACACTCAAATAAGAAGAGTTTACCTGCAACTATGAATGTCCTCCATATGTCCTTCCACGGGTTTAAACTGCCATTTCCACTTCCCTATGGTTCGGTGAAGCTGTCAAGATTAGCTGCAGCCAATATTGGAATAGTTCGAAAAATTAAAAAAAAATTCTTCCAGGTAACTCGAGTTAATCCGAGTTAACTCGAGTTACTTGAATTTCAACTCGAGTTAACTCGAGTCGTGTTTATTACGAGTTAGCACATCTCTAATCTGGCGGTGTATCGCGGCGGCTCGTCTCTGACGACGTCACAAAGGCGAGTTATCTAGTCTCGAGACACTAAATATGAAGCCGATATTTTTAACCACCTTAAAAAAAGAGAATCGAATATCTAATTTTTTTTAATGAAATGCCAAACAGACCTATGGCTGATCAGCACCATCAACGCATCATTATCACCTGCTTCTTCCTTATCCCATTTTATTTGTGGTCGTAGTAATATGTTTTTCTCTTCCATTCATCTCTGTTCGCAGTCATCTCGTTATTTACTTCCTTTCTCACCATATCATCTTTCACACAGTCCATCCATCTCTTTTTCATCATCAAAACCATCACCAAAGTGATATCCTGGTTAATTCTAATCTGACGTACAAACGAATAAACATTCGTTTGTACGTCAGGTGATTAGAATTAGACAAAATTTCAAATTGTAGGTACAATTAATGTTTAATGAAATAAAATTACTGTACTACGTCATCATACCGCTAGTCATTAATCAATGAAAAAATAATAAGAAAAAATAATAATAGAATAGAATAGAATAGAATTCGATTCTTCGTATGGTACAAACGTACCATACGAAGAATCGAACCATCTGGTTAAACAATTAATAAGAGGACCATCGGATAGTAAAGCGGTGTGCTAAACCACTAGACCACCGAGGCTGTCATACATATTTTCATGTCATATATATTTTCATTTAATATTAGACATAGACACCTATATAAATATACATTGTAAATATGTTGTCGTCAAAAATTGTTTAATATAGGAACTGGGTTTGAATTCGTCTACTGGGTTTACACAAAAAAAAAAAAGTAATTCAATGGAGTTTCTTGCCAGTTCTTCTCGATTGAAATCTATATACTGAATTGAACCGTAGGGAAAAATTATAATATAAAAAATTTTACGTTCTATATGAATATACATTGTTAATAAAACTGGCTTTCAAAAAAAAGTAATTCAATGGAGTTTCTTGCCAGTTCTTCTCAATTGAATTTATATACTGAACTGGACGGTATAGAAAAAATAATAATAATACTTTATTTGCCAAATGTAGGAAAACAATAAGGTGTTAACAATGTTGTTGAGATCCGTACATTAACCTCGTAAGAGGTGTGCAAAATTTCAAATTGTAGGTACAATTAATGTTTAATGAAATAAAATTACTGTACTACGTCATCATACCGATAGTCATTAATCAATGATTTAAAAAAATAATAAGAAAAAATAATAATATAAAAAATTTGACGTTCATAAGCGGTTAAAATGTCCTACATGAATAAATAACTACAGTTATTAATTTATTATCATAATTTAATGCAACTAATTTAATCTTCCGGTTTCTTTATTTATAATGATTTAAAATGTCCTACATGAATAAATGAATTTTGAATTTGATTTTGAATTTGACACATCATAAAAGTCTGTAATAGTAGGTCTATTGAATGAATAAAGATGTTTTGATTTGATTTGGTTGATTTGTATACATCGGCTATTATTAGAGCTTAATAAACGTAACTCAGTGGTATTAATTTTACATCTATGACGTCACATCCGCCCGGTGACATCCGCGTCGCACGACGTAATCCCCCCGGAATGCTCTGTCATTTACGTAATTTTTATTTCTATGCTATTGTCGAGTGAAAATTGTACGCAGCCGCAACCCTCCAGAGCTCCATTAAAATGTATCACGTTTGGAAAATATTTACATTTTGTTTTAGGTATAGCGATATAGTTCCTTTATTTAATTAAAAGTCACTCACTACCTTCAACATATATTGTAAGAATATTTACAAGGGGAAGCGACGGTTCAGACAAACACAATACAGTTTATAACGTCGTGATAGAGAAAGTATTAAAATATGAACATTTTGTTTTAGGTGTCGTGATAGAAAAACTCGACCCTGAATGCATTCTATTCAAGGATCCAGTTTTTCGGAGTAATATTCAAAATTCAAAAATCATTTATTTATATTACAATTTTTCCCTACTGTTGAGTTCAGTATATAGATCCAATTGAGAAGAACTGGCAAGAAACTCAGTTGAACAACTTTTTTTTAAAACCAGTTTATTTACAATGCATATTTATATCAGTGTCTCAGTCTAATATTAAATTAAAATCCAGTGCATGAACAACTATTGCCATGCACGCTCGTCATTAAACTAATCGTTTAGTGAGTAATAAAATAAGGCTTTGCTCAGTAAATATGATTTAACAGATGTTTTGAATTTATTTAAGGGTAATTCCAATATATCCTTTGGTATCTTATTGTAAATTTTTATACCTATTCCCATAAAAGACCTATTGATTTTTTCTAAACGATACTTGGGGACAGCAAGTTTGTCTTTAAATCTAGTATTAATATTATGAATAGTGCTGTTTTTTGGAAACTGGTAAAGATTTTTGTGATCATGTAGAATATTTGAGAATACGACATTACATAAATATTTTTATTTCCTTAACGATTTTTGTCAATAAATTGACATTACATAAAAAATCGTTGCATTTATTTATTTCTTCATTTTTGCTCTGAATATAGATTTCTTTCATACGACATTACATAAATATTTTTATTTCCTTTGCTGATCGCATTTATTTATTTCTTCCTTTTTACTCTGAATATAGCATTTTTTTCATACGACATTACATAAACATTTTGGTTTCCTTTGCTGATCGCATTTATTTATTTCTTCATTTTTGCTCAGAATATAGCATTTTTTTTTCATACGACTACGTTTTTTATTAAGTTTATACACCTACACATGTATCCATTCTATTTAGAAGGGAATTCTAAATTACAAAAGCGAAAAGAAACAATACAGAAGTGGAATATAATTTATTGCCCTTCATAAAGCTTAAAAACTCATAAATCAAACAAATCTACGTCGTTCTAAAATAGCAGGTTATCCACTTCCTACGCTGTTCGCCTGGTAACAGGTACTTTACTTATAATTGAAGTATGTTTGAAGGTTACGACAAAGTTACTTATAAATGTTCGTGTTACATACTATTAATATATTATACTTACTAGCTGTACACGTGACTTCGTCCGCGTGGAATTTAACTTTATTAAAAGGAAAGTAGCTAAGTTACTCCTTATTACATCACCTACCTGCCAAAAAAGTTCAGTTAAAATCGATCCAGCCATTACGGAGATTAGCCGGAACGAACAGACAGACAGACAAAAAATGTAAAACATGTTATTTTGGTATACGTACCATATTTATATTCATATGCATGTAGTAAAAAACGGTTATTTCAATATTACAAACAGACACTCCAATTTTATTTATGTTATTTATGTTATTTATATATATATATTTGTTAGTAATTTATTTTAAATCTAATGTAAGTAAAATCATTATTTTATTATATTTAGACAATAGACTAAAAGTTGTTATAAGTTGGTACATCTTTACCTAATAAGTATACTAACAAAATGTTGTGTAATTGGTAGGTCAAATTTGATATGTGTGTGCAGGGCTCGGCTGCCGTCGTCGGAGCCGTCGTGGACGGTGCGCGGTCTGGAGTGGGAGGTTCGATTCCGGCTGGCGGCCGTCGCGCTCAACTCCAAGGGCCGCTCGCCGCCTGCCAGACTCGCGGATCTGCTCTTCCGGGACCCCGAGAAGAGAACCGGTAACCTGACACATCTATTACTTACTGTCTTACCATCCAGAGGCATCCCTCTACCTGCAGTACACGCTATGTTACTCCTATTTTGAGAATCAAATTTTAAAATGGATAAATTTGGAATTTATCTAATACAAATGATTAATTCGGTGGACCGACGATCTGGTCAAGATCGCGGGAAGGCATTGGATGCGAGCAGCGCAGGACCGATCGTCGTGGAGATCTTTGGGGGAGGCCTATGTCCAGCAGTGGACGTCTTCCGGGCTGCGATGATGATGATGATGATGAAATGATTAATTCATTAAACGAATAGGAATAGGTCATTGGGCTCCCTAAAATATGGTCGAGCGCAGTGATGGCTGGCTCATCCGTCATACTCGTGAACGAGTGCTGCTTGTAGGGACTGGTCTGCTCTTATCACTACGACTAATTTAATCTTATTGTGTATTTATGTTTGACCCAAATAAATTAGTGCTAGTTGGTGGTTTGTAATCACACGTTTCGACTTGTAAATGTGGACTTACTAGGATTATTCTATTCTATTCAAATTTTTTTTTTACTTATTGTTATATGTACACACTTTTTGGATGTATGTCACTTATATATTACGATGACATTAGAATATTATATATTAGAATGACATTGACTATATATATGATAAAATGGAAATCCCGCGCTCCATCCAGAATCTATTGAAGAACCCAGAAACTTACAAACCCATTTTTGAGTACGTTATATCAACTTTTCAAGATTTGTAACTTCTGAAGACAATTATTGGGAAAAAAATTATATAAGAAAATATTACTGAAGACAATGGCTGTATGGGCTGAGTCCTTTTGCCTTTCCCTATAAAGGGAGAAACCGAACCAAAAAAAAAATGTCATTGACTTTGACTTTTACACTTTACAATAACTGAGGGCTGACTGAATTGCAACACTTATATTATGCGTTTTCATTTACTAAACATACGAATGTATTATCCGAGAATTAAACGTAAAGAGTGGTTGATATATAATTTATATATCTACTAGCTGTTCCCGCAACTTCGTCCGCGTGGAGTTTAACTTTATTTTTCTAAAATAAAACTAGCCTAAGTAACTTAGGCGCCTTATTACATCAGCTACCTGCCAACAACAGTCCCGTTAAAATCGGTCCAGCCATTTCAGAGATTAGCCGGAACAAACAGACAGATAAAAAGACAAGACAAACAGACAGATAAAAATTTTAAAATGTTATTTTGATGCATGTACCGTATTATATTCATATGCATGTAGTAAAAAACGGTTATTTCAATATTACAAACAGACATTCCAATTTTATTTATATGTGTAGATTTATTGTTAACAAGTCGTTTCCTTGCGCGACAAAGCATAGTACAAAATTATTTTATACCACAAAGTAAGTGGCAAAAATTAATAGCAGTTATTGAATAAAGCAAACACATCCAAAATTAATTACTCCTAGCAAACACATACAAAATCGAAATCAATACAACCAACGCGTACTGACTCGTACGAACCAGACATTAGCTCTCATTAGATGGCTATTGAAATATACGAGTACCGCTCTCGCCCATCACTAGTTTTTGTTCTAAATCACTCAGCGAAACTCAATTTGGAGGGTAAGGAAGCGCGGGCGGGACAGGAAGCCCCTATATACGAGTTATTAGCCGAGGGAGAGCATCAGGCCCGCCGGGAAATGTATAAGTAACGGAGAAAAGTGGCGGCTAAACGGCTCCGAACGTTTGTTGCTGAGCCTAACTTGAGCATGTCGTGATTTCTTCATTTTGCGGGGCACAGTCGAGTCGCTGAATGATTTGCCCGCTGCCTCGCATTAGGCTTTTAAAACCAACGGATAAGATACTACAGATCTTATTATGGGACGCTCGTTGAATAAATTAGCATAGCCAAAATCTTAAACGGTCTACCTTCATTTCAAATTTACAAGTTCGAAGCCACAAGTCGACGGTTGGTAGATACGAGTAAGGTCGAGACCTTGAGAATTAATTGCTAAGATTGAAATATAAAACTTGAAAGTTATCATAGTGTCATTGGATTGAAATATCGTGTTTCATTTTTGAACTACTAAATTGATAATGAGACTTTTGGTGCGTTGCAGATTTAAACACAAGTAAGTCATATAATACAACAAATATTTATTTATTCTATTTCCATATATTATGCTAGCTACTAACCCCGGCTTCGCACGGGTGTACATGTATTGTACATATAAACCTTCCTCTTGAATCACTCTATTTATTAAAAGAACCGCTTCAAAATCCATTGCGTAGTTTTAAAGATTAGGGACAGACAGCGACAGCGACTTTGTTGTATGTAATGAGTTATATCAACAATTTTAGTCACGTTTGGTTTTGTTAATAAATAAGTTATATGCAACATTTGATTATTTTTATAAAAGAAAAAGAAAGATAGACTTTTTCTTTAAGATAAACTGCATTGAGTTAGAAAATATAAAAGTTGTATTAAATATAAAATGGCGATACTACGATAGCAAACCAACCATGCACTTGTACAATAAAATGTCACTTTCACCATAATGTAGATATTTAATATTATCACATCTGATATTACTTTTATAAGGATACTAACTACTCGCCCCTAACAATACAACACAATGTAATGAAAACTGTGAAATTAGTAGTAGTGTAAGATTTATATAATTGTATATGCATATTAGTAAATGTAACTGGCTCCTAATAAAGATAGGTGACACTGCATGTTGTCAACTCACCCGGCCGGCCAGCGGTGGTTCTGGACCAGACGGATAAGGTCTGCCTCGGTGTCACTGTTAGGCAAATTGTAACATCTCGGCTGGAGTTGTACAAAAGTGGAAATTAAAGAAATATAATAAATAATATTAAAAAAAGACTAATATTAAAAAATTTAAAAAAAAAACTACTCACCCCGGGACTTGTATCACTCTATCTATAAAAAAAATATGTCTGCATAAATAGGGACGGACAACGACAGCGACTTTGTTTTATACTATGTAATGATAAAAAATTACATACATGACACATATTTATCACTATGTCCTTAAAATTTAGTTGCGTGTTTGAGACAGCCAAGGAGCTAGGCCCATAGAAGTATTTCCTGGATCAATAACTCTTGAGTAGGGCGCACGTTTCGCCTGCAACCTCAAGATAATCCCATTTTAATTAAACGAGGCTCGGATTTACCGGCGAGATTAATCAAGAGCCTCTCTCTGAATGCGTCGACTTGGTACCGGCTCACCTCCAGTCTCCCACTCCCTTGAATCTAATTACATGATGACGAGACAAGCCAACTCGCAGGAAGTCACTTGTCATCTGTAGCGGCCACTTCAAACGACTCCACTCTCTAATGGATCACTGTAATTAGCAAACATTTAGAATAATTTTATCTGGGTACTGTGAAGCTTTTTAATCTAATAAACATGGTGTAATCACTGATCACTGACGAGGGTCATACTACGGTTATTAGACTAACTGAAATGCAGATGAGGTTTAGAATAATATCGGAATTGGTAGATAATAATAATAATCTCAGGACAATTCACACAGCGCCATCTAGACCCAAGTTAAGCTAGTTAAAGCTTGTGTTATGAGTACTAGATAACTGACACGAATATTTGATAAATTAGACTAAAGTCTCAGACTAAAGTAGCCGTCAGGCGGGAGTTGGCCTTTAGCCGAGACATAAGTCCTTCCGCGGTTTTGAAGTGCCATCTGCACTCGCTCCAAGGCCAACTGCGGCAAACAGCGTTAACGTAGTCCGCAAAAAAAAATGTAAATGCATAGAAAACACCCAGACCGCTACAAACAATTATACTCATGAATACAAGGAATCGAACCCGCGGCGGAAGTAAAGCGGTGTGCTAAACCGCTAGACCACTGAGGTCGTCAGATGAAGGCATTGCGCAGAGAAAGTTGCAGGAAACAATATGGATAATGGAACAATTAATTTATTAATTATTCATTCACGTATGTTATATTTGGATACCGCGATTTAATTATCTCGCGGCCACACCGTTGCCTAGTTACGACGTTGAGAGGAAATAACAAATCTGTCATTCGAGACAGATGCTTTTTTGTATATGCATCCATCACTATCTTATATATAAAATTCTCGTGTCACAGTTTTCGTTCCCATACTCCTCCGAAACGGCTTGACCGATTCTCATGAAATTTTGTGAGCGTATTGAGTAGGTCTGAGAATCGGCCAACATCTATTTTCATCCCCCTAAATGTTAGGGGTAGTCCAACCCAAAAAAAATTTTTTTTTTCGACAAATTTTTATTTTTTATTTTTTTATGATACAACATACAAAAATACATACAATCCTAAATATTCACCCTTCTATCATCAACCCCTATTTTTTATAGCGTTATTAATTAATAATTAAAATGGCAAAGCAACGTTTGCTGGGACAGCCAGTATAGTATAAAACAAAGTCGCTGTCGCTGTCTGTCCATCCCTATGTATGCTTAAATCTTTAAAACTACGCAACGGATTTTGAAGCGGTTTCTTTTAATAGATAGAGAGATTCAAGAGGAAGGTTTAATTGTATAATACGTGTACACCCGTGCGAAGCAGGGGCACACGCCCCTAGCTAGTTGTAAATATTTCATCAATATACATAATGTAAATAGTCATCACTGGACTCATCATTTCATCACCTCCTTTCCTGCTGCTGCTACAATACAGCACACAATATATATAAATTCAAATTCAAATTCAAAAATCATTTATTCATGTAGGCCATTTTAGCCGCTTATGAACGTCAAGTTTTTACATTATAATTTTTCCCTACCGTCCAGTTCGGTATATAGATCCAATTGAGAAGAACTGGCAAGAAACTCAATTGAATTACTTTTTTTTTAAAATCCAGTTTATTTACAATGCATAGGTATTTATATAGGTGTCTATGTCTAACATTAAATGAAACATGAAAACTATTGCCTTGCACGCTCGTCATTCAAGTAATCCTTTGGTATTTTATTGTAAA